CATCGTCATGGCAGTAGCACGCGTTGTAGTTGTGTCTGCTGTCGCTGGTGGAGAAGGTGGCGGTTGTGGTGGTAATGGTGGTGTTGATATTACTATGACTCCCCCCCACCCCCACCCCCGCTCCACACATACACACAAACACACACAAACACACACACACACACACTCACCGCCACTAACACCACCACCACCACCACGACCACTACCACACACGCGCACACACGCACGCGCACACACAAACACACACCATCACATACACACAAGCATACATACACAAAACCATGAGTGCGTCTATATCTATATATTCAGTGCACATGCATATGTACATGCCGTCTCCCGGTGATCCCTCGTTGGCTTGGCACTTCTTCACAAATGGACCCTTCCCCTTCGTGCCCCTAGCGAGACCGAAGAGCGAACCAATGAGGTGGCATCGGTGTTTTGGGAAACCGACGCGCGAGACATCCGCTGACGAAAAATCTATACAGACTGGACTCTTTCCCGGCGCTGCGCCGGGAATGAACCCAGTCTGCCGGAAAAAAAAACCCAGTCCACCGGGAAAAAGACGAGAAGCCAGAGGAGGGGGGGGAGGCGCTGCGGCAGGCTGCGGCGGGCTGTGGCAGGCTGTGTTCGGGAGGTGCTGCGGCTGCGGCAGACCGCGGCAGTCTGCGGCGGGTTGTTCTGGGCTGCGACGGCGAAGATAAAGTAAAAGGGCATGGAGATTGGAGAAGTGAAAACGTCAGATGGGAGGAGGTTGAGGTTGAAAGTGGTGTGGATGTATGAAACGGCGCGCGGTGGCAGGACCATTCCGCGGGGCCTGTTTGGGCGCCGCTTGCTGCGGAAAGAAAGCCCAAAGGCCTCTCCTCCTTCTCATGGGAATCATCCGCGGACGCCCCAAAGGCCGACTGCGGGATCCATAACCTGCACGCAGGCATGGGGGTCCCCAGCAAGTCGGTCTCTGGGCCGCTTGGGGTTTCCACCGAGCGCGAAGGAGGTTTCTGCCCCCCCTCCCGCGGGCGGCGCGGCGGCGTCGCCGGCCGCGTTCGCCAAAGGTGGGTGGCAGAAATTCCTCGCCTCCTGCGCGCAGGCGGCCCCGGCCCCTTTCAGCAGCCACCATGCCCATGGCTGGTGCCCTCCCTCGTCGAGGCAGGAGCAGGGCAACCAGGCCGCAGGAGAGGCGGCTGTATGGGGGGTGCCCGCCGCGCTTGGAGGTGGTTTCTGCAATCCGCGGCGGCGGCCTGCGCGGTGACAGTTGGGGGTTGGTCTCGCCGCGGCAGGCGCTGCAGGCGGTCGAGGGCCGCAGCCGCTGAATGCGCGTGGGGGATGGATGGGGGGCCGTGAGTCCACTGACGGTTTCTTGCAGCTGGCGCCGCGGCCGCTCTGGCTCTTGCCAGGGCGGCCGTCGGCGAGCCCCCCCTCTTCGCTCCTTGGTGGAGCCCCGCCCATGCCCCACCGCAGGAGGGGGGCGCAGAGGACGTTAGAGGGGTTCGGCGGGGGGAAAAGGGGGCTGCGACTAGGCGAGCCAGGAGGAGGGGGATGTTGGAGGTTGGTTGGGGCCTGTGGCTCGCTTGCATTCGCCTGAAAGTGATCGCAATCGCCGCTGATGTTCACGTTGAAATGTGCTGCTGGTGCCACTCATGTTCGCGCTGTAGAATGCAGCTGGATAGAGAAATATCCCATGCCGCGAGCTGCGCTACTTCCGTCACGTGGTGAGTTCGCGCGCGCATGTGTCGGTTAGAAAGAACGCAGAGATTGACAGGGTAGGTAGCAACTGGAGGACCTGTCTGCTGCGAGGGCGAAGTTGGCAAGTGAGGGCGCAGCGCGCTGATTGGCCGCCGGTAGGCCAGTCCGATCGCGCAGATGGCCCCGCGTTGTGGGCGATCGGGGGGGGGTCTCCTGACTCGCCGTAGGTGGGTCGCGCTGGTCGGGCTGGTTCGCTTCGACGGCGTCTGCGTCGATTGGCCGCGGTTTCTACGAGTCGGGGCCGTAGAGTGGGACAGATTCCTCGTCCGTCTCCTGCTGGTCGCCGCGGTGGAATACTGCCGCGACGCCCGCCCGTGGGCCGGGCCGCTGCCGGCTTCCATTCGCGGGGGGTGCGGGGCGCGTCCCTTTCGCGGCTGCGGTCCGTGATCATGCTGCGGATCGTGGCAGCCGTGTTGGCGTCGCCGATTGTGCTTCTTTGCTGCGTCTGGCGCGGTCCCTGGTGCCGCGCCTGTGCTGCTCACTTCGGTTCTGCCCGCCGTGGTCGTGGCCCACTTGGGCTGCGCCAAATGGGCTTTGTCGGTCTGCTTGACTGCGCTCGGTCTCGACGTCTGCGGCATCTGGCCCGGGTGTCTGGGCTGGATTGGCGCGGCCCCGATAAGCGGCTCGTCGGGTGCTGGCAGATCGCACGCAGTCGGCGGGCCGGGTGTCGGCCGTCGATCTGCCGATGCTATGGTTGGCCCTCGGGCAAAGGGATCTGGTCGCTGATGGCGGCCATCTTGACCACTGCCTCAGATGTGATTTCGCTCTGTACATCGGTGACAAAGAATGGCGTCACACGGATACCTTGGCACCCAGGAGGGTGTCTCTCTTCTGGTGTAGCACCTCTGCTTGCTCAGGCATGTCGTCGTAACTGCGGCGCTTCGGGTAGTTCAGCATGTTAGCCAAGTAGCGATCGGCGTAGCCTTTGTCGCTGATTCACGTGGAACGGGCGTGCTTCTTGCAGCTCGTGGCACATGCGGTAGCTGTTGAGGGCTCCTTCCACGTGCGCCATGACATGGTCGCATTCGATGCGGAGGCCGTCCGCTGTCGCGCCCCCTCGGCCCTCTGCTGCGTAGGCCAGGTCGAGCACCGGGTTGTCATTGTAGGCGATCGCCTCGTGGGTTATGCATTTTGGCCATCGCGTGCTCGCGGTCATATACGTCGTCATTGATCATGGCGGTCAGGCGCTCGATGATGTCATGCACGTGGTCTTTGGTCTTCAGCCCTGTCGTCATGCCTGGCGGCGGCGGGGGCGGGGGTCACTTTGCGAGCTCGTTGGCCGCTTCTCGGTTGCGCTTGGTGTCGTCACCTTTGGCCTTCGGGGCTGTCGCGCCCCAACACGTCGCAGTTTGGCCCGCTGCATCCCCCTGGTTGCTCTCGTTCTCCCCAGGGGTGGTCGGCGGTGGCTTTACTGACGCTTCCTTCCATGGCTGAGGAGTGCTCGGCCGCTTGCCCTCGCTGCCGCACGCTGTTCCTGCAATGGTGGGTTGCGCGATGGGCGTTGGCGTCAGGATAGCCAATGGAGCTGCGTTGCGCAGCGGGAAGTCTCCTCCTCCGCCCTGTTGAGCTTCTCCGCGTTGACAGTCTGCATGCACTCGTGGCGCGCCGCCATCTGTTCAGTCGCCTGCTTCGACCTCCGCTTATCATTAATGACCTCGTCGTGGTAATCATCGGCCGTGGTCGCCTAGTGGCGTTGGTTATTGTCATACCGCCGCGCAGCTTCTTCCGCTGCCCGGAGGTGTTTTTTGAGATTGTTGACCTCGTCGCTGGCTTCAGCCTTAGTTGTTCCTCAACGTCGTTGGCCATGCGCTGGCTGTCCTCCGTCAAGATCCTGAGCAGGGTGCCGAGGTCCCGCCCATCTGTGGCTTCACCTGCCCTTGTTTGCCTCCTTGGGGCTGGTGATGGTGTGGGCGATTTTTGTTGCGGCATGTTCTTTTGTGGTTGGTCTGCTTCGCCATCTGCAGCTTCTGCGTCATTGCGTTGATCATCTCTGGCGTTGCTGACGTCGCGCTGGGCGGTGGTGAACTTCCATTTGTTCTCGATCGTTTTATACTGCTGGTGGATCTTCGAGTGCTCGTAGTAGTCGCCATGGCCCTCTTGGCGCCGTCGATATCTCTCGCCTGGCGGGCCAGGGGAGGGGCATGCCGTTGAGAACCATCCCTTTAACGACGGCGATCTGCGCGACTGCGTCGGTGGGAAATAATCCTGCCGCGCTGTTCTTCAGTATGGCAGCTGCCGCTCTACATTTTCCTCATGGGCATGACGTTGTTGATCGTGTTGGTGCTGTGTTCGTTGTACTTGTTGTTGTTGTAGTTCTGGCAGTCCTCCTTCTTCTTGGGCGTCTTTTCCTTGTCGTAATGGGTATTGCCCTTCCTCTTGTTGCTTTTGTCCTTGCCCTTCCGGTTGTGGCTGTCGGGCTCTTGGTGGTCATTCCTCCCCTTGCCGTCCTGGTGGTTGCCTTTCCCGTTGCGGTTCTGGCTCCAGAACCTGTCGGTGTGGTTGTTGGCCCACCGGTCCACCCACCTCTGTCTCGTCCAACGATCGAATCTTGCGCCGATGGCTGGGGTAGTGGGCCCATGCATATGTAGCTCTGGAGCGTGGACAGCTTGATGCTGATCTCCACGGTGGTTGCGCCAATCCCGATCCGCTCGCGGCTGCTATCCATGATGTCGCCAAGGTTTGAGTTTGATGTGGACGTCGCGGTGGCTACTGGGCGCTGTGGTGCGAGTCGAGAAGGTCGCGAACTGCCGCGGCCCCGAATAGGGTGCGTGCTGCAGCTCGCTGTCAACGCTCGCGTCTGCGCCACGGCGGTTCCAGCATGGGAGTCGTGGTAGACGTGATGGTGCTGCGTACCAGCGTGGAAGCAGCGGTCAACCTGAGTCCTGAGATGATAGGACATGAATGAAAAGGGTAAATGTACATGGGACGTGAAGGTGGGTGTTGGTCACCTGGTACGAGTGCGCGGGCGCCCTATTGAGGGCGGGGCACCGCGCTGGCTGCCGCCCAAAACCCTTCGGGCACGCGGCTCTCCTCCTCCTCCTCCTCCTCCTCCTCCCTCCTCCTCTCCTCCTCTACCACCTCATCCTCCTCCTCCTCCTCCTCCTCCTCCTCCTCCTCCTCCTCCTCCTCCTCCTCCTCCTCCTCCTCCTCCCCCCTCACTTGGCGGCTGGAGGAGCGCTGCCCTGCAAGGCTGCCCGCCAAGGAGAGAGCTCGCAAGTCGAGACAAGACCTCCTCTCTCCGAGCGGGGCAGCGCCGGCGCCTGCCACTGCTGCGCCACCAGCGGGGTCGCCGCGCCGCCTTTCTGGCCCCCCCCTCTCCCAGGGGTGGGCGCAGTTCGCGGAGGGGGGGGGGGGGGGGCAAACTAGGTGCGTTAGCGTCACATGTGGCGTCCTACCCCTCCCTCCCATCCCCAACAATGTCGTAGATCCCCTATCTATTCGCACAATCGGATGTCGAGCAGGACAATGATCCCAAGAAGGTCGCGATGGATGGGAAACCATTGCGTAGAAGAGGGCGGCACATCAGAGCAAGTCATAGCATGGCGTGGCATTGCGTACTGAAGCACTGCACCACAAAGCATAGCAACGCACGAATGGCATCGCACAGCGGTGCACAACACAGCATCGCAATGCATGCCGTGGCAGGGCATTAGATGACTTGCAGGGTAAGTCGCCCGTCTTCGAGAGGACAAGGCCTGTCCAGAATGCCGTCTCAATGTCCTCCGCAACCGTGCCTGCTCGATGAGGGCGCTTTAAAATGCCAAGTGCCGTCCAAGTGCCGTACGGCGGCGCGGGCACGAGGCCAGCGCTACAGTGGGAACACGATTTTGAATGACCGAAGCGTGGAAATGAGGGCTGCGCTGCAGCGGGCCAGCGGGGGCACCATTTTATAGAAGAACCAGAATCGACTGCACTGAAAAAACCACATAAAAAAACCACTGATGAAATCCTGTGTGAGAAAGCAATGCACTGAGAGGACGGGGCCCTGGCCGGACAGAATCAGGGGGGAGAGGGGCAAGTTTTATTCACATTGTGTAATTGCGGGGGGGGCGGGGGGCGACAGCAAGGCCGGGGCAAGGAGTCGGAGGAGGAGGAGGGCGAGGACGAGGAGGAGCAGCAGCAGCAGAAGCAGCAACAGTGGCAGCAAAGATGAGCAACGAGGAGGAGGAGGAGCAAGAGGGGGAGGAGGAGGAGGAGGAGGAGGAGAGGAGGAGGAGGAGGAGAGGAGGAGGAGGAGGAGGAGGAGGAGGAGGAGGAGGAGGAGGAGGAGGAGGAGGAGGAGGAGGAGGAGGAGGAGGAGGAGGAGGAGGCCGCTGCCTGGAGGGCTGGAAGGGAGCCGCAGGCTGCCGGCGATATAATAAGTACTCCGGAGGAGGTCCCTCTGCGGAGGTCCCGCGGCGGCCCAAAAGGGTCCAGGCAGAAGCCGAACGCGAGGAAGAGGAGGATGACGAGGAGGAGGAGGAGGAGGAGGAGGAGGAGGAGGAGGAGGAGGAGGACCTTTTTTGGACCTTTTGACCAAGCACAGGGTCGTGCGGGGAAGGGGGAGGTGGGGGAAGGGGGAGGAAAGCGGACCCCGCACGGGGGTGCTTTGGTGCAGGCGGAACCCCACCTCACCGCCACACCCCCGCACCTCCCACTGGCCAGCGTGCCCTCCTAGGGAGGGCCCGTCAACCAGCGGAGGCGGGCGGCCCACCCTCCCCACCCACGGGCACAGCAGCACGAGCGTACAGCCTCTCCAGGCCGCCGCGTTCGCGCGCATCGAGGGCAGCTTGCACGGGCTTCGGCACCCCCTCTCTTCGGGGGTACTTGCCCCCTTCGATGCGGCTTAAATTATCACGGCCTTTGCGGGACATGCCCTCGCATTTCGCCGCGAGGTGGCGCCCGTCGACCGTGGCGTACCTGCCACAGGTGGTGCAGAAACTCATGAGATACCGCTCCCACCGCTGGACGGTATGGGAGGGGTGCACATCCCTGCCAGCCGCCAAGTCCCCGCCACTCGCCCCAACTCCCAGGACAGGGAGGCCTCGGCACTGGGTCTTGGCGGCTCCGATGAGCCGAGTCACGGGCACAACAATATCACACTGACTGCACCTCCAGGAGCCCTTGGCTTGCTCGAAGCGGTGGCTGGAGGTCTGCAGCGCGAGCTGCCTCCTCGAAGGGGGGGCTCTCCGCTGCACAGAGGCCCGCGCTCCACTCCATGGGTCAGCCTCCGCGGCCAAGGCCAGCGCGCGCCTTGCGCGCGCTCTAACCAGGGTGCCGATCGCATCCCAGTGGTCAGTCTGAGGCTCGCCCCCCGCCACCGACGCCGCCCACCCTCTCCCAGCCGCCGCCCCCGCCTCCTCATCGGCCAGGGCGTTGCCCTGGATTAGGTAAGGATCGATCGGGTCGCTGAGAGAGGTGGCTTCGTCCATGTGGGAGGGGATCCATTTCAGGTTCACCTCCGACGACCGAGCCTGGAAAGCCACCCGAATTCTAGACCACAAATCTTGATTTGCGCCATTCTTATGGGACTGCCGACCCCTCCCCCACGCTTTCATGAGGGGCTCGTGGTCAGTCACGAACAGAAGCCGCTCGGGAACATGCTCTAACGCGATGGCAAACGCGAGCAGCTCCGCCCGAGGGACCGTTTGACGCTGACCCCCTACAGGGGTCGAAAAGCCCCACGCCAGCCTCCAGCCCCCTTGGCCGTCAGGCTGCATGGCGATCACCGCAGTGCCACACCTACGTCTACGCGGGTCCGCACTGTGCCCCCCCCCCGATCCGTCTCCGAAAACCACCACACACCCAAAATTGGGATGCGGCTCGACCTCAGAAATCGGGAGCGGCCCCAGGGACCGAAGGTCTTCTTCAGGGAAAACCGTGAGATGGGTGTAGCTCTTAGGCGGCACTCCTCTAAGCCACTCCACTGGGCAGCTCTCCCATTGCACCTGGGCCTGCTGTCTGATACACTCACTCTTCTCGAACTCTTCAAAACCAACATTGCAGGGGCACTCCGACACACGATGGAAAAGAGTCTCTGTGCCCTGCTGGCACCTTGGACATTCAGTGGCTACTTCATATCCTAGAACCGCCTGTCTTTCTCGGGTGAACTGCTGACACAGCCGTACTCTGGAGGCCAATGAGCTCGTAAGCTTCATTTGCCAAAAACTTGCGGACTCCGCGGCTCGCCAAGAGAACGCCCCCTCCCCCAAGCTCCAACCCCTCACCACCATAATGAGAAGCAGCCTGGGTCCAAAACTGGGACGCAAAATCTTGGACCAGGTCTTCAAGCAATTCGGTGAACTCTGCATCCCCCTGCTCGAAACCAGCCTCGCTCGCGCACGGTAGTCTGCACGCCTCACTCCCGTTCTCAGGTGGACGGCGCCACGAGTCAGGGGAGGACGGGATCCATCCAGCCTCGTAAAGTGTGGCGACCACGGCGCTGACGGGCCTGCGCGCCCTATTCCACCGCGTTTTAGCAGGCCAGAGCCGAGGGGTAAGATGTTTCCACGCCGCTCGGATACGGTCGTGGAGCTCTGGCGAAGACTTCCAAACTAAACACAACTCGAGGACCAACTGACGGCGCAGCTCCAGACCAGGATCTTTGGCCCCTAAGTGCATGGCTAGCACCGTGGTCAGACACCGACCCGAACCCGTTCCAGCGATAGCCTGGCCAGCCTGTCGCCTAAGGTTCCGGATCTGACTCGGGCTCACGCCGTGCACTTGGTGCCCGTACACCGCTTGGGGAAGGGCCCCTGTAATCCAAAGAGACTGCGCTATCTTCGATAATTTAGCCGAGCGCCTCAGCTTCCTGATGCTACGGAACCTCTTGGTGGCCTTGACAAGCCTACTCTTAGCTCGTGTGAGAATCCTAGCTTTGCCTACAATGGCGTCGCACCCTAAATCGACTGCTGACGTCTCGGCTGAATGTGGGAACTTGGCTGCCTTCAACAACTGACTTATCCTAGCTCGGATGTGAGACGATGAGCCCAAGACAGTGGTCTTATCCGAGATGACAAGCCGAGCATCTCGAAGACCTTCAGTCAACACTCTCGCCGAGGCTGCCAAGGAAATCGCTACACTCTCTGCAGTGCCTTCGGCCCTCGAGACCGTATCGTCGATAAAAGACCACAACCTACAAACCTTGACCTGCCGATGGGTGCGGTCCAAAATCGGAACCAGAAACAGTTTCGCGAGCGGCACCCCCAGGCAGGACCCTGCGACGAGGGAGCGCGTTGGGTAAATAGCTCCACTAGCTCCTCCCTGACTCCTCAAAAACCTGGGCGCTAAATAGACCTGGGACTCTAGTGCGACAGTCAGGGCTGGGAACCCGACGTCTGACGCCGTTTTGATTAGCATCACCAGGCTCAGCGAATCATAGAACTTTTCTATATCTAACAGAAGTGTCGCTACCTGGGCTCCTGCTAGCACTGCTGTCCCACCAGGCAAGCTGCACAACAATGCAGCTCGCAACGCTGAGTTGCCTTTGATAGCCGTGTCCCAGAACTGGTCAAGGCCTGAGCTCCGAGCCTCGACCAGCCCCGATGTCACTCGGCTCCGAAGCTTTATAACATTCGAGAGCATGCCGATCGTTCGGTCGCCTCGTTGATTTGGTTTGGGCAAGAGAGCAGAAATCGCGGCAAAAATCGGTTCTGGCCACACTCCTTCACATTCGACGAGATTTAGAAGGGCGGCCAATTATTCAACCCCCTGCTCTGGCAAGCGCTGCACATCGGCCACTCGGAGAACGTCTATACCTGGGGCTTTCCTGGCGGGGGCCCGATACCAGAGAGAGGAAAGGTGGGGGGCCTCGATGGGGTCCAAGGGGCCCTCGCCAGCCCTTCTGAGCGCTCCCGAGATGGCCTCTTGCAGGGCTGTTGGGGTATCTGCAGGATCCGTCCACCTCTGCTGCCACGCAGCCTGCTTCTCGGCCATGATGGCCGTGGGATCCGAAACGACCTTCCCTGGAGAGAGCGATTACAAGGGGACAGGCGGGTCTTGCTTAACGTGTCGGTGCAGGGTGCCTGGCTTCTTTTTCCACTGCTCCTTCGCCCAGCACTCAAAGGCACGGCGAGACGAGGCAATCCATCGAGCGTGCGCGCAAGCTGCGAGTCTATCCGCAGCCTCGACAAGTGCTGGAATATCAGCTTCGCTCTGGAGGCCGAGATCATATAAACGCGCGATCGTGGTGCCGCCAAGCTCCTGCATGTCTTTGCCTACACATTCAGACATGTATTGCCCGTCAAGCTGCTCACATTGCTTGCGCAGCTTGCTCATGCACTGCCCTAGTTGTCTCTCATCTTTGCCTGAGAGCCGTAG